GTTCTGGAAAGATGAACAAAAGTGATAAACCCATAATTAGACTTAAGAGAGAGGATGGGAGGGAGAGGGAGAGAAGGAGAAAGAAAACACAAATTAGCAGATCAGAAATAAAAAGAGGACCATCACTATAGATTTTACTGACATTAAATAATAAGAACATATCATAAACAACTTTGTGGTCAATACATTCAATTATTTAGATTAAATGAACAAATTCCTTGAAAAACACTATTTGCCAAAATCAGCTCGGGAAGAAATGGAAAATCTGAACACCTCTACATACATTTATTTATTTATTTATTTATTTATTTATTTATTTATTTTTAATTAATTTTTTTAACGTTTATTCATTTTTGAGAGACAGAGAGAGACAGAACATGAGTGGGGAAGGGGAAAAGAGAGGAAGACACAGAATCTGAAACAGGCTCCAGGCTCTGAGCTGTCAGCACAGAGCCCGATGCGGGGCTCGAACTCACAAACTGTGAGATCCTGACCTGAGCCGAAGTTGAACGCTCAGCTGACTGAGCCATCCAGGCGCCCTGTCCCCTCTACATTTATTAAAGAAATTGAATGTGTAACCAAAAATCTTCCACAGAGAAAACACCTGGGCCAGACGGTTTCACTGGTGTAGTCTATCAAATATGTAAGGAAGAGATAATACCAGTCTAAGACAAACTCAGAAAGTAGAAACATTCCCAATTCAAGTTATGACATTACAAGAAAAGAAAATTACAGAAAAAGATTCCTTGTGAACATAGATGCAAAAATCTTTAATAAAATATTAGCAAATCAAATCCCACATTATGTAAAATCGATACTATATCATGACTAAGCAGAGTTTATCTTAAGAATGAAAGGTTGCTTTAATATTTGAAAATCGATTGATGTAATACATCACATTAACATAATAAATTGATCTACCTACATAAATGGATCTATGGATTTAACACACCATCACAGTTGAATTTTCAGCAAAGTTATAGAAATTGATTACCTGATTCCACAATTTATATGGAAATGCAAAAGACCTAAAATAGCCAGAAGAGTGGCCCTTGGGTGGCTCAGTTGGTGAAGAATCTGACTCTTGATTTCAGCTCGGGTCATGATCTCACAGTTTGTGAGTTCGAGCCCTGCATCAGGTTCCTCACTGACAGCACAAAGCCTGCTTGGGATCCTATCTCTCCCTCTCTCTCTGCCCTCCCTCCCTCAAAATAAATAAATAAACTTTACAAAATATAAAAACAAAAAGTAAATAAAATAAAATACCCAAAACAACTTTGGAAAAAAAGAACAAAGTTGAAAGACTTATACAGTTGACCCTTGAACAATGCAGGGGTTAAGGGTACCAATGCCCTGCACAGTAATAATCTACATGTAACTTTTGACTCCTCCAAACTTAACTACAAGTAGCCTACTGTTGATGGAAGCCTTACTGATAATATAGACAGTTGATTAACATATATTTGGTATGTTATATGTATTATACACTGTATCTTTATAATAAAGTAAGCTTGAGAGAAGAAAATGTTATTGAAAATCATAAGGAAGAGAAAACACATTTACAGTACTATACTGTATTTACCAAATAAACTCCATATGTAAGTGGTCCCACGCAGGTCAAACCCATGTTGTTCAAGGGTCAGCTGTCCTACTTTATATCAAGACTTATTACAAAGCTACAGTAATGAATACAGGCATGGTATTGGCATAGACACACAGCAATGAAACAGAATAAAGAATTCAGAAATAGATCCACACATATATGGTCAATTGATTTTCAACATAGGTGCCAAGACAATTTAATAGGGAAAGAACAGTATTTCCAATAAGTAGTATCAGAACAATTCGATAGCCATACACGTACACACACACACACACACACACACACACACACACACACACCAACTTTGACCCTTACCTCACACCACATATAGAAGCTAACTTGAAATGAATCATAAACCACAGAAGAGCTAAAACTATAAGACTTCCAGAAGACTTAAGAACAAACCTCAGTGACTTCTTTAATACTACACAAGAGGGGGTGCCTGGGTGGCTCAGTCAGTTAAGCATCCAACTTCAGCTCAGGTCATGACCTCACAGTCCAGGAGTTTGAGCCCCCCATCGGGCTCTGTGCTGACAGCTCAGCTGACAGCCTGGAGCCTGCTTTGGATTCTGGGTCTCGCTCTCTCTCTGCCCCTGCCCCACTTGTGCTCTGTCTGTCTCTCTCTCTCTCAAAATAATAAGTAAAGATTTAAAAAAATTATAAATAAATAAATACTACACAAAGAGCACAAACTATAAAAGAAAAAAATCAATAAATTGGGATTGATCACATTTAAAAAACATTTGACCTTCAAAAGATAAGGTTAAGAAAGTTAAAAGGCATAGACAAATAGAAGGTATTTGCAAAACATAGGACTTAAGACTTATGTCTAGAATATATGTGTGAAATTAATTAAACAAGGAGGCCATTAGAGTGATGTGGTTTCAATGATTTAGAAGCCTACTAAGCAAACCAAAATCTAAGTCTCTAATGCCTCAAGGTTAAGAATTCAAACCAAAGAACAACCAATCACAAACAGCCAACTGGCCTTTCCCAAATAATACAACCACTTAAGCTATAGTTAATCAACTTCCTTCTTTGCTTCTCCCTTTTCTATGTAAAAGTCTTTCCTGTAGCTCCTGTTGGTGGAACACTCCTAACCACTTTAGCTTTGGCACTGTCCTATTTGATTCTTACTCAAGTAAACTCTTAAAAATTTAGTATGCCTCATTTTATCTTTTAATGTAAAGAATAATAACAATTTAGGTGCGCCTGGGTAGCTCAGTCGGTAAGTGTCTGACTTCAGCTCAGGTCATGATCTCGCGGTTTGTGAGTTCAAGCCCCGCATCAGGCTCTGTGCTGACAGCTCAGAGCCTGGAGCCTATTTCGGATTCTGTGTCTCCCTCTCTCTCTGCTCCTCCCCCCACTCATGCTCTGTCTCCCTCTCTCAAAAATAAATAAAAACATTTAAAAATTTTAAAAAAAGAATAATAACTATTTAAAAAGAATACAAACACCACATTAAGAAAGTGGGCAAAAGATTTAAATGCGCTCTTCACTGAAGAAGATACACAGATGGTAAATAAGTACATGAAAAGATGCTCCATATCATATGTTACTAAGGGAATTCAAATTTAACCCAAATAAGACACTCCATATACCTACTCAAATGTCTAAAATGTAAAAGGCTCTGTCTCTTTCTGACCCTCCCCTACTCGCAAACATGCTCATCACTCTGTAGCTCTTTCTCTCAAAAATAAATAAATAAATATTATAAAAATAATAAAATAAAAGGCCATCTATAACAAGTGTTGGTGAGGATGTTGAATAACTGGAGCTCTCAAACTGGAAAACAGTTTGACAGTTTCTTAAAAAGCAAAACATACACTTACCATATGACCCCGACGTTCCACTCATAGGTTATTTTACCCAAGAGAAACAGAGACATATGTCCACAAAAAGACTTAGGCAAGAATGTTCATAACAGCTTTATTTGCAATATTCAAAAACTGGAAACAACCTAAACGTCCATCAACAGGTGAATGAATAAGCAAATTATGGTATATCTATATAATGGAATCCCTCTGCAATAAAAAAGAATGAACCATTGATACAAACAACAAAATGGATGACTATCCAAACAATTATACTGAGTCTTAAAAAGCCAAACCAGGGGGCGTCCGGGTGGCTCAGTCGGTTGGGTGTCCGACTTCAGCCTAGGTCATGATCTCGCCGTTCCTGAGTTTGAGCCCCACGTCAGGCTCTGTGCTGACAGCTCGGAGCCTGGAGCCTGTTTCAGATACTGTGTCTCCCTCTCCCTCTCTCTGCCCCTCCCCCGTTCGTGCTCTGTCTCTCTCTCTCAAAAATAAACATTAAAAAAAAAGCCAGACCGGCCCCCCCCCAAAAAAGAGTGCATGCTGCATGACTCCATTTATAGGAAATTCTAGAAAATGCAAATTAATCTATAGTGACAGAAATGGGTTGCCTGGAGATTGGAGGGTGAAAGAGAGTAGTAACGGAAATGTTCAGTATCTTGATTGTGATGATGGTTTCACAGATGTATACATATGTCAAAACTTATCAAATTGAACACTTTAATATGTGCCATTTATCATATGCCAATCATCCTTCAGTAAAGCTATGAGAAAAAAAGAAAACCATAAAATGAAATGAAATAAAAGAATAATACACCATGACCAAGTTGGGTTTATCTCAAGAATGCAAAGTTGACTTAATATTTGAGAATCAATTAATGTAATTTATCATATTAACATAATAAAGGATAAAACTACACATGTAATCATCTCAATAGAGGCAGAAAACAGAAATAATTAATCTTCAGAGAAATAACACAAGAAAACATGCCACAATTTAGTCCAGGTTGAAAGGGCCCACTAAGTATAATGTAGAATGAATGGGAGGGGGGGCACACACTACAAGGCACATCACTGGAAAATTTCAAATGAGAAAGAAAAAAGAACATCCTGAAAGCTAGTCACATATAAAAGAAGGAGAATCAGAATGAATTTGAGGGCTTCTCAACAGCAAGTGAAAGCTGGAAGATAAGAGAACAATGCCTTCAGAATTCTGAGTAAAAAAACTTTTTGCAACCTAAATTAACTATCAAGTCAAACTCTCAACCAAGTACATGACAGGACAATAAAGACATTCTCGTATATTCTAAAAAAGATATTCTTCTGTACCCTTTCTCAGAACATACCGATTTTTTCCCCACAAAACAAGGAAATAAACCCAGAAAGATAAAAAACTATGGCAGTCAGAAGGCAGGGAGAGAGTCAGGAAGGATCCCCAGGATGAAGGTGAAGGCAAGTCCCAGGGACAACAGCTGGGCATCAGATCTAGAATACAACCAGACTAGTTCATAGCAGAAAGACGACAGTACTAATTTGGATGCTTCAAGACCAAACAAAAAACAAAAAAAAAAAAAAATTCTGAATTGATAGAATATCTGATTTATTTAACCATATTGTGAGATTTAAATTTCACTCCATTTGGGATTGAACTATTGATAAATAGATATACAGAAAACTAAGCAAAACAAAAACCAAAAAACAAAGTCAAGTCTTTACTCCGGGTTAAACAAAAAGTGGTACAAGAAAGGAAATATTTTTATACAACACTACATGATTCGGTAAGAAATAGTATTTACATAGTTACAACAGTATATATTTTGAGTATTGATTTCACTATATAAATTGGTGACAATCCTATGAGAAAGCTAAGTGTGAGTATTTGAAGTGGTGTAAAAGAGTTAAACTTATCTTCCATCATGCAAAGTTAATAGATAACAGCCAAAAACTGTTTGTTTTAATCATCAAACAGCAATATAAATGTATTACTTAGGAAATTTGAGATATATGCCAAAGAAATCAAAGTGGTTGCCTCGGGGCACCTGGGTGGCTCAGTCAGTTGGCTGACAGACTCTTGGTTTCGGCTCAGGTCATAAGCTCACTCTTTGTGGGTTTTAGCCCTTTGTTGGGCCCCATGCCAACAGCACATGGCCTGCTTGGGATTCTCCCTCTTCCTCTCTTTCTGCCCTTCCCCCACTCTCCCTCTCAAAATAAGTAAATAAATGTGAAAAAAAAAAGCGGTTGGCTCTATGGAATAGGGAAAAGATAAGGCAGGAGCTGCTGAAGTGGTTTTTAAGGTCTTACAATATTTCTAAAGTATTATCTGACTCTTAAAGCCATGTACATGTGTTATTTGATCTTCCAAATGCAAAATGTGATTCTCTTTGCTGTCACAATCCAACAGTTTCCATAATTCTGATTATATCACTTATAGTCAGAAGGACAAGGATAAAGACGTTCAAGAACAAACACACCTGATTCTTGGCAATGAACCACTTAAGTAGAAGAGGAGCTAGGAGGGCTTGCTAGAAGAAGCCTACCAGCTGTGTGCATTCAGCAAGCCAAGGGCATTGGGTCAGTCGCTCTTTTATAAAAGTACAGAGCACTGGTTAATCTAGCAAATCATTTAAACTGAGGTCAGTTAAAAGAGCTTCTACTGTAATGAATCCAGATAATAAAGGAGATGAAATAAAACAGCCTTAATCCATCCACTTCTGCTACCCTGTCATTTTCCCATGGGTTAGATGGAAGAAATTCTACAAGGAGTGGAACTCAAGATCATCCTTCTCAGGGCCATTCAATTTGCCCTGAAATATTAACCCTCTTGAGGGAAATCTGCAAACGAGGATAAATTAGAGTCCTTGTGAAGGGCAGGCGGTCTTATACATCCTTTGGCTTAATCCACAAAATTAGTTGGAAAGGGAGCCAAAGAGACAAAGCGAAATCTGCCTTTTGCACCGTGATGGGCCTGATTTCATTTCAGTAACTAGATTTAGTCCATGGTTGCCTCCTTGTCCTTTGCATTTGGGATAAGGATACATATAAGCATTTCAAGAGAAAATGAGCAGTCAGGAATCAAAACAGGAACTGAGACACAGCCTCCTATAGCCACGATGAGTAGGCTTGCATCAAATCTCCGAGTCTTGAAGTCACCATTTTACCTGTCCCACTCAATGAAACCTTGAAGTTTTGAGATTTCGGGATTGCTAATTATTCGAAGAGTTAAGAAGGATATACAGCCACCTTTACAACCAATCAGGCAACTGCTGATCTTTTTGCTGTGCTATTTTGGGCAATGATCTGCAGAAATTTCTCTCTTGCTTTTTCACTTGGACTCAATTCTGGAGCACCTATGAAGATTAGATCCACCTTCCTTTCCCTCATTTGCTGAGCCAACAGGGCTGTGACAGCCCTTCGTGATAAGAAATCGTCAAATTTCCTTATAGCTGAAACTAGAAAACCAAGCAAGGCAGAAACTGGCTTTTAGTGTGGACAAAGCCATTAAATAATTTTACCTTCCTATATGTAGATTCAGCTAGGAGGGGCCATTCGGATCTTCTGAAAGGTCACTCCCCATAGCCTATGCAGATCAACAAAAAAATAAGTATTCTCTTCATTCAGAAGCCCTTAGGCCACCTTCTTCTTTTTTTTTTTTTTTAATTTTTTTTTTCAACGTTTATTTATTTTTGGGACAGAGAGAGACAGAGCATGAACGGGGGAGGGGCAGAGAGAGAGGGAGACACAGAATTGGAAACAGGCTCCAGGCTCCGAGCCATCAGCCCAGAGCCTGACGTGGGGCTCGAACTCACGGACCGCGAGATCGTGACCTGGCTGAAGTCGGACGCTTAACCGACTGCGCCACCCAGGCGCCCCTAGGCCACCTTCTTCTTTGGCATCAGTAAGCACAGAATGTGACTCTGGTTCAGCCACAAGAACGGCTTCTCGGTCGAGTCTATCAACGTCTCATTGGCCCCTCCCCACTGAGTGGCCACCTCACTAATGTCTAGGCCCCAACTCTAGCCATTAGCCAGGCTTTGAGTTTGCCACAAATCTATCAGCACCTGCCATCTTGTTTTTGGTGAGGCTGAACTCTTCCTTTTGGATAGGAAAACCTGATTCTTTTTAAACCATTATTATTTGAACATGAGAAGCCTGTGATAGTCACTCTCCTCCTCTTCAGACCACCTTGTTTTGCATGTTGCAGTACACAGATCAACAACAGAGTAATTTGCATTTATACTTTTTACAGACGGCCATTCGAGTCACCTCACAGACACTGGATGTCCCCTCATCTAATTCTTCACCTCCTCCGTAACTCCTGTCTTACCAGCAATGTTTTGGAGCTATGGGTGAGCTTCATTACCTAATGGGTAAGACTGTTGAATTAATGAATGTTTTTCTAACTGGAATCCACATCTTCTCAAGCCTTATCAAGTAAGGGGCCCCAGAGAGGTACCTCGGTGTCAGAGCTGTTGCCATTCAGAGCCTCCATGTTTGGGTCCCTCCAGTCTTCTGAGAGTGAAGGGATGTAATTGTCTGTCAGAGCATCCCAAACCCTGTAAACAAAGAGAAGCTCTCATTAGCACACATCTGTGGCCTGGCCCCGCCTGGAGGAAGGAAGAGCTGGGCCAGGGGAGGAGAGAGGCTTCTGTGTGTGCCAGGCTGAGATCATCTGCCTTCCAGCATGCAAGAGCAAAGCAGCTTAAAAACTGAATTAGAGGCACTACCAGGAGAGAAAGAGCCAAGAGAATGGGCCCTGGTCAGGGACTGCAGCTTCAAAGGTGTTCGCTTAAGAGGAGAGGAATTTCTCACCATTGAGACACAAATGGTAGAGTCTACGATCAAACCACCTCAGGCAATAAATAAATTGCCCCTGAAAATAAATCTGCCCCTCAACCAAATGGTTCATGACTCACGAACCTGAGAAATGCCCATGTTTCCTTTCCTTTTCTGTGGGCAAAGAAGAGTGAGAGAGAAAGAGGGGGAAAGAGGGAGATAGTGATGTAAGTAGGTAGGTAGGTAATCGACAGATGGATATCTGGGCAGATCTTCTGGCTGAATCTCTTTGAGATCAGGGCCACCATAGAGTTTAGGTGCATTTCAATTTCAGAGGCCTGCAATCTAAATGGTCAAGAATTAAACTCCCTGACATCTAATGTAACTAAAGGGATAATGCCAATGCTGTTAACGCTTACTAATTACCCAAAATGTTCTAGCGAGCCCGTGGTGGCATACTCCCCCAGCTCCAGCAAAGTAGAGTGTAAGTGTTCCCTTTCCCCATCATGGACACTGCAAGGCAAATGTATGAAAGGAACCGATCAATACACCTCTAACAATTGGGTTGTAGTGAGGGAAGACGGGGGGTCCCTTTATTACATGGCTTTAAAAAGTTCTGATATGTACATTATAAGAAAAACTTTTCTATAATTTGTGTCATTTAATTCTCTTATTTCAGAAATATTTCTTTGGGGGGGAGAAAAGGAGGGGTTGGGGGAAAATCCTAAAGTCACAAACTCTCACACACAGGAAAATAAACAAAGGAGTCAACATCCAGAGATTAATGTAAATCAGTAAACCAAGTTCCTAAAATAATGTCATCCATGGAAACCAGTGACACTTGAGTTAATATTAGCTAAGGATAAATGAGGGCTCTAGGCAATATCCTTCAGGTGCCTATGCATGTCAAACAAGGTATAAGAAGGTAAATTGTATTTAGACAGACTCACATGAAGAAGCAGCCATTTAAAAGTAAGCAAATATGTATATATGTGGATCAAATTCAAAACATGACAGAATACGGTGTGAGACGCTGAAAAGGTAAGTGCAAGGTGGACAAGAGCACAGACAGCTGACATTAGGAGAGGCGAGTTCTCTTAGCATATGTCAAATCGGGAATAATATATGATGCATGGGCATAGAGCAAGGAGACTTTCCCAGTGCACAAAGCATACAGTCGGCGATGCAACACATTAAAGGAGCTCAAGAAAGCACAATTTAATAGCAGTGCTTGGGTTATCCGCTGACTCATTATTTTCCTGCAATTACAAGCAAGCACTTTGAGAGGACTCATCAAGTGTTCATTAGACATCCATTCAGCAGGATTTTAGTCTGCTTCTTAAACATGGGTGATAATCCAATCTCCATCAGGCACTATTAGAGCTTCATTAATCCAGCCTAATGCTAAATGCAAGTCTCAGTAGCACTGTACAGCCAAGAGGCAAAGATGATTTGCTCCGTCCAAGACAAAACTCCAAGCACCACACCCAGTGGGGGAAGGCCAGACTCCTCCTTGCATTACATTCTCTGCCGCAAGAATCAACAACAAGCATGCAAGCACTGACCTTCGGATTTGTCCCTGCAGCAAGTGCCTGGAAAAATAAAATTCAGCAAAGCCCAAAATAGGCGGGAGCCTTTTGTGTCTCTCCTAGGCTGGCTGGAAGCTGGGACTTTTAATGAACTGCACACTTTCCAATGACCTTGAAACTGTTTCTGTCCTTCAAATGACAACTGGGGGGCTCTCTCAAATTATTTAGGGAGTGGCGGTTTTTCTCGTGTGGGCCTTGGCTGACATACTCTGGATTTCACCTTCTAACTCTAGATTTTTATGACAATTCCCTACACCATTTTCTCCTCGGGCTTTCGAGCCATCCTCATTCTTTCCTGTTTTGTCCAGATTTTCTTCTTTTCTGAAGTACTCTTTATCCAATACTAACCCTAGCAGTCACTACTTAATGGCCACTTACTATAAGTCAGGTACTCTCTTCTAAACCTTTGTGTGAATTAATTCATTCAATCCTCACAACTCTGTAAGGCAGATCCTAAGGTGGAAAAAAAAAAAAAAAAAAAAAACCTAAAACAGACAAGTCAATTAACTTGTCTAAGGTCACACAGCCAATAATGACAGAGGTGGGATTTGTAACCAGGCCATACGGCTACAGAGCCCTATATTCCTAACCACAAAACTATCCCAAGTCTTTATCATTTTGTGACTGGCTCGGGCACGGGCATCAGAGTAATATACCAAGTTCCCAATCACAAGCTAGAACAGCAATTCAGAAACCAGCTCTGCGTGAAAGATCTCTAACTACATTATTCTTGGACATAGCGCTTTCATCAGTCTACAAAAGGAGGAATGGCAGGGGCAGCGGGGTGCGTGACTGCTTCCTGTCTATCTCTCCAGCCCCAGTGAAGGTTAAATGGAAGGCGAAGGCAGAACACTGGCGGCAGGCTGGCAGCCAGAGCAGACCGGGTGGTGGGAGGGAAAAACACAAAGCTTTCTGTGAGGAAGAGAATGGGAAGGGCTTTTCTTCCTCGACGCTCCCCCACCCCCCGCAGAGAGGCTATCTGTTCTATCCTGAGCAGGGGCCTTGGGCATGAACATACTCCCTTTTATAGTCACCCTGAGGTGGACTGTGAAATCCTTTCCCCGAGAAGTGTCCTGCCACTCGCTCTTATCTTGGGGGAAGGAGACTCTGAATGTTATCTCCTATATCTGTTATCAAAGAGCCAAGATTAAACAGGTCGCCTCAATTCCTGGCTTTTGCTGCCACGGCACCCGCGATTCAATTTGCTCTCTCAGTCCCTATAGTGACAGAAAAGGCTTTTCTTATGGCTGTTTTATAGCCTGGGCTCAGGTGCCTATGGAACTGACTAAGCTATCTTTCGCCACACAGGGCTGGGGATTTGTAAAGGGAAGCTGGCACCGGGTGAACACACCCAACAGAATGGGTTGTGACAAGACGCACATACACAAAGATCTGGGTCTACTGGCCATCATGTGGCCATCAAGGTTACATGAATCCTGCCCCCCTCCACACCCCTCTGTTCTTGACAACATGGTAGGCAGCTAGCCTAAAGGGCTTATTAGAATTCCAATTTGATAACATTTCCCTTAAGCCCCTCCAGGTTGGCTACTGCCCTTATCCAGTGTCTCGTGTCCAATCAAACCAACAGCCACATTTTGATGTGTGTTCACGCGAGTACACTTTCGCTGCTAAGACTTAGGAACTATTATTAGCACATAATGACTTTGAACAACTTTTTAGATTCTTTCAAGCACTGAAATAGAATCAATACTACCTTGGCCTTCCATAGGGGGAAACTGAGCCTCTGAGAGGATAATTAACTTTCCTCAAAATCACGGTTATCCATCCACTTTCCATATCCTGGTTGTGTGGTATTTACTTGACTTCACCTTCAAGTATGGCTGACTACGCACCATGTATTTATTGTGTAGACTTACTTTTAGCACCTTTCACCCAATAATTCTATCTGCAGAACAGCAAATAGTGATTGTTCTCACAAGTTTGGCCCCTCTTTACCTTACAGGTGCCTGTAAGAGGGCGGATTGTAATCCCAGTGAGGCAGGTGGTGGAGGATTGTCCATTCCCCTTCTGTAACGGTCCCCTAGAGAGGCTCTGGCCTCCAAGTTCAATCTCTTATGAGACAGGAAGGATGATCACACATATGCAAAGAGCAGATTCTGGAAGAGTATCCAAATTTAAAACCAGGAAAAATCTATTCAAATTTGACTCTCTTGTAATGCCTAATACTTCCATTCCCTGATAAATCAGAGAGAAGTTGACGTCTCAGCCAATTCCCTATTAGCAAAATAGTTCCAAAGGAGGACTAGAGAAATCCAAACTCTAAAGGGAATGACCACATTTGCTTTATGATTTGTGCTCTCTTGAAGGAGGTTAGTTTGACCGAGAAGTTCACTGCTTTTGTTTTATGTTTTTATTATGTCCTGCTAACCCACCCAACACACTTTCAATTCATTTGTGGAGGAAATATCCATCCAATTTGCAAACCTAAGGAAGTTTATTACAAGCTATGCTCAGGAGAATCACAACCAGATTAGATATTAAATTATCTTTTCCCTTACTTCATCATAACTTTACAGTTGAAGTATATGAATAGGTATCTATAAACAACGTGTATAATTTAACTCTGATTTTTAAGTTGGAAAGGTTTAAATACATTGACCACCTTGAAAGCACAGTGTTAATTTTTCTCTTCCCAGATTCCTCCCTCTACACTATCCCCAAATTGTATTTTATCTCTAAGGAACTATTCAACCTTTGGTCTTTTAGCTGAGGCAGTCAATGAGGCAGGCAACTCAGAAAAATCAGGGTGAGGAGACCAATAATCCCATGTGATGGTAATTAACATTGAGTGGCCTCTGCTAATGTGCTAGAAGAGAGTAAGAACTTGCTCACCGGGCCTTCATCCTTAATGAGGCAGAGGGGGGCTTAGATAGGGGAGGAATGATTTGTTGGAAGCAAAAGGAATGGGACGCATCTTAAAATGTCATTTTCAGAGCACAGCCTGGGTGAGGTAAGAAATTAGGTTCTTTCCAAGTCTTTAGCCCTGCTTCATCAAGATTGAGCTCTGGAGGTTTCAAAGATGAGGACCCACGCAGTCAACTAAAGTTAAGTGACTAGCCCAAGG